GGCCTCATGCATGCAAGGCAAGGACTCTACCACTGAACCACCTTCCCAGCCCCCCCCCTTTTTTTTTTGGTTGGTCGTGGGGCTTGATCTCTGGGCTTGGGTGTTGTCCCTGAGCTCTTCAGCTCAAGGCAAAAGCTCTACCGCTTGAGCCAAAGCACCACCTCCCCAAATAAATTTTTAAAAAACTTTTTGTGCATTGTAATTATTGCCTTCTAGGCCTTGGATCCTGTGATCAACTTGTCCTTCAAAGAGGGTTCTGTTCAAGTTTCACAAGTGATCTTGTGGATCTCCCCAGTCCTAAGTGAGCAAGCTACTATTGGATGAAGACAATAAGTTTGTCGTTTCAGTGATTTCCAAACATTTTCTTCCCTGAACCAACCCTTTCTGTAATAAGCCCCATTAGAAAAGTTAAATATGTAAAACATCACCTTCTAAATGAAATGTACCAGCAAATCCAAAGCTCTAATGCCATTCCCCCTGAAGACATTCAGTCAGATAGTCTTAAATACTGCCTGAATTATTCCACTGAAAATTGTTTGCTGTATTTGTATGTCATCATCTAGACAGACTATTAATTCTCTGGGGCAGAGGGCTTATAGACCTAATTCAACTAAAATTTCTAATTTTTTTTTTTTGGGTCCAGTCATGGGGCCTGAACGCTGGGCCTGGGCACTGTCCCTCAGCTCTTCAGCTCAAGGCTCTACCACTTGAGTCACAGCGCCACTTCCGGCTTTTTTCTTTTTGCTTATGTGGTGCTGAGGAATCAAACCCAGGGCCTCATGCATGCAAAGCAAGCGCTCTACCACTGAGCCACCTTCCCAGCCCTAAAATTTCCAAATTTATGTATTCAGTATTATGCCAGCAAAGTTACAGGATTTTAATAATCCGGTCCTTAATACACCTATGAGATGAGGTAGGTAACTCCTCTACATTTAACATATACAGTTAAAGAAGGCTGAAAGATAAAATCTGATTTTGTTAGTGGCAGGAATGTAACCCAGATCCTTGGGAGTCTAAGACCAGTGTGCATTTTCCATATGAATAAGCTTGCTTCTAGATCAGTTCTGGACTTTTTCTATAGTTGCCAAGACAAGGTACTACAAAGGCCACATTATCAGTGGTGATCAAGAAGACATATTCAGATTTGGATAAAGTTTCTGTGGCCCTGTACCTGTGACAGGCTTAGCATAGCCATGGTTGTAGGCTACTGGGCCCCTAATAACCCTTTTTCCTTTTCCTACTTCATCATCCTTTCCAAAGCTCATCTGACAAGTTGATGCTATGCTACCCTTCTTGTTTAATCTACAATAACCAAAACCAAACAAAATTACAGGGCTTGGGATGTACTCTTCCACTTAATGGCAGAGCTCTTGCCTACCACATTTGAGGGCTCAATCTTTCAGTTTACAGAAAACCAAAAGGAGAGGGAAACTGTTTATCTAATGGACAATTAAGAATTAGTAAACTCCAAGTATTACATACTATAGGTTTAAAGATGCAAATATTAAAATTCACTGTATAAAAATTACATGGTGGCCAGGCGCCAGTGGCTCATGCCTGTAATCCTAGCTACTTAGGAGGCTGAGAGCTGAGGAGGATCAGGGTTCAAACAAAGTCAGCCCGGGCAGGAAAGTCCATGAGACTCTTATCTCCAATTAACCACCAGAAAACCGGAAGTGAGGCATGGCTCAAGTGGTAGAGTGCTTGCCTTAAGCTGAAGAGCTGAGGGACAGCATCCAGGCCCAGAGTTCAAGCCCCATGACTGACAAAAAAAAAAAAAATTACATGGTGGCTAAATGTGGTGCCAGCACTTGGGAAACTAAGACAGGAGTATCTCATCTTAAAGACCAGAGGTTACAATAGAAAATCTGAGTCAAGCGAGGACTATATATAGCAAGACCCTGTCTCAAAAAAAAAAAAAAAAAAGGGGCAGGGGAAGGAGAGAAAATATAGACATGCTGCATTAATAATGCAAAGACTTGAAATAAGAAACTGCAAGGCAACTTTCAAATATTTTATTTTTAGTGTTTTTAAACATTTTAATACAACAAAGATATAAAATAATATATTAGTTAAATCTGGATTTAATTTAGAATCAAAATTTACTTATGTACAATACTGTGCTTCAGGTATGGCTACCACAGAAGCTTTCATATCTTCAAGTAATACTAGCTTCTCTGTGGATGGGAGACTTTTAAGTAGAATTCTTAAAACTAAACATGCCCAGGCTAACTTTCTTTCCCCACTATGAGTTTCTACTTCCCTTGTTTCATATCAGAAATATTTCACTGCTGTTAACAATCCATAGATTCTCTGAATGAAAAATCATTAAAATGAAACATTTTAAAGATAATCTTACTAACTGATAATATTACTGATAATTATAATATGTCCTGGCTCTGTCCAGTTGTTCAGACATTCTAGTTCAGACTGAAACTATGCTATTTTCTTTGTATTGGGTACAAAACTTCCTTATGCTGAGGCATGGAATACATTGAATAAAAAGTCCTTTGGTTGACTTGGAGTAGAATGTATTCTAAAACCCAACTTATTGAAAGCTTAAGTAATGGCTTATAGATTTCATATATTTATGTTAAACTTGATACAAGTAATAATTCAGTTACTCAAAATTAGTCTTTCTGGGATGAGAGGCAGACCACATCTACTTCCATGCTAATGTTAGTCATTCAATGTCACTCACAGAGAGGAAACAAAAACCAATTCACTCATCTCTAGAACTATTCTGATCTTTGATGTTATTAACATATCTCCACTATAGAGATACAGGAGTAATTCAGGCTAAATTTTTATTAATAGTATTTCTGTAAAATGCCAAGTAAAGCTGGTATTAAAATCTCGTTACTTTCAAACTAGCTTTCAAACTGCCTAAATGAAATCAACAGTTTAAGAAAGTAAATGTACTAAAGAGCTTTCTTGTCTCAAATGCCTGAATATCTTAAAGAACTGACAAAAAACTGCAGATCATAAGAATGAGATAATTGCAATTGTATAAAATCAGTGAGTTTAAATAAAGAATATGATTAACATTCTTAGCTAGGTGTGGTGATAGCTACTCAAGAGGTGGAGATTGGGAGGATAAAGGTTTTACGGCCAACCCAGACAAAATAGGGGAACTCATCTTACCCAGTTAGCCGAGTGTGGTGTCATGTGCCTGTCATCTCAGCTATGTGGAAAATGTAAATAGGAGGATCAAAATTCTGGCTGGTTGGGCATAAATATTAGACTTTATCCCAAAAATAAACTTTAAAACAAAATAAAGCAAAAAGAGTACAGAGGCATGCCTCAAGTGGTAGAGTGTTTGTCTAGCCAGCTTTTGGCCCCAAGTTCAAGCCCTAATATCACCCAAAACAAAAAAGGAATATGATTAACATTCTTAAGTATTTTGGATCTAGAACCCTTCAAATGAATGATGAAATTGCCTTTTGCTGAATATAGTCAAAGCAAGTTTATGTTATACATATAACTTTGTGAATGTATGAATGATACTTTTAAAACATATGTTCCTAAAAGACTGTCTTTTTTTAATCAGCTATAAAAGCATTTCCTTCCTCCTCGATTACCCATTTACAAATTATAGAGGCTGTGTTTTCAGCAGCTCTCTCAGGCAGTATGTTTGTTTGGGACTAGTCTACATTTATTTAACTGGCTGGTTCTCAGGCTACCTCATTGCTTTCTCATTTGGAGACACAGGACTATACAGAGCCAGCATTTAGAAGTTGCATTTATCATTTCTGGTCAGAAAGAATTATGAAGAGGATAGCCATGTTGAGAGTGATGTAGCACAGACAAAAAGGCTTTTTCTAAAAAAATCTGGTGATACTGCCAAACTTGCCTTCTTTACAACCTCTTATTCCCCACCAACTTCAATTACCTTTCAGTAATACTCTACCCTGTCTGATCTTAAAAAAAAAAAAAAAAAGATGGAAAAAGGGGAAAAAAGAAGAGAGGCATTACTGCTCTCAGGAACATAGAAAATGCATGAAAGACTTTCAATGTAACTTCCAGTGTCCATTCCGGAATCCAAAACTTTTGGTTCCTTCTGTAGTAAGGAATCAAAGGATAGTGTTTTTCAAAATATTCAAGACTACAACTGCAGAACCAAATACAACATTAAAAGAAAAGTAGACCAAAGTCACATAGCTTCTTCACTCAGCCACATCCAAAATGTAAACATAAATTCTACCTTCACTACAATTAACATTTTAACAATAAAAGCAGTAAAAACAAAAATCTGGAAACTTCTGGACAAAGTAAAAAACAACTAAAATGCATGTTTCTCATCTAAAGATAAACAGCTGAAAATAATTCGGTCTCAAAGGTTTCTAAGAAAGAAATTTCTGTAAACACTGCCTTATAATAATTGTTATACCAATAAGTGATAAGTCTAGCTTACCTTTTTCTCAAAACAGACAGTAGTAGTACAAGGCTGAAAGTTATCTTATAATCCTCACTGCAGTCTGTAGTTAGGCACTCTCAATGTCAATAGCTCTGCAAAGTTAGCTGCATTTATTTTTCTATTTTGTTCTACAATAGAATCCACATGAAGGAAAGAAGACTGATGTTAGGATGTTTACCATTAACAGCTATTAAACTTCTTAAAATTAATGATGACAGAGTTTTTGAACATTTTTTCAAAAGCTAACATCAGTCTCTCCCTAGCTAAACTCAATCTTGCTCTGTCATTTGAAGGGGAAAAAATAGTAGTAACATCTTCCCCCCCACTCTGATACTCAGTCTTTAACTCAAGAGATCTCAAGTTCACTCAGGAGCTTTCTTGCTCACAGCAGGTGTCATACCACTTTAACCATGCCTCCAGCCTGCTATTTGCTGGTTAGCTGCAGATGGAATCTATCAGACTTTTGTGCTCAGGCTGGCTTCAAACTGAGATCCTCCAGGTCTCACCTTTGAGCAGCTAGGATTACAAGCATGAGCCACTGGCACCAGGCTGTTAATAGACTTTGACTTCAAAATACTCAGAGTATATGAAACATCCTTTATTCTTTAGTAGTAGCTAAAACGTACTTTCATTATATTTCTTCCTTATCTAATTTATCTAGGCTCTTCGGTAGCATATATAGGAGGGTTAGGACCATTACTCAAAGTGCAAAATTAAAATATTTCATCCAGATAAGGAAGGAGCAGGTTTCTGCTATTGTCTAATTTTAGATCTCAGTCTGCCAGCATCTTCTGCAATTCCTTAATTTAAAATGAAATGTAAAAACCACACAATATGTTCACCATCTAAGTACATCAGTTGGGAAATCAACTTCCAATTCTACAGCCATACTAACACTGCTAGTAATGTAAAAATCCTTAAAATAAAGTGACAAATGTTACCAGAGGTGAAATTACTTACTATACTAAATTTCTGGATTGTAAACAGGAGTTATATAATTTTCTGATTGCCAATTAATACTATAAAAATGTATTTACACATTAAAAAAATAAAAAACAACAAACTTTCTTTTTTGTATCCAACTATGTCTCAGATTATTTACTTCTGACAGTTAAGAATGAGAAATTTCAAAAACAAAAAAAAATTAACACTATACCTACAATCTTTTCATTTCTTTTCAGAAGACGAAAAAATCTGCATGCAAACTTCCCTTACTGACAAGAACTTTAACATTTCATAAAACACTCTTATTTGGCTCATTAAATAATACCATTAAAAAAGTGTTACATCGTGCTGTCATCTGTCCAACAATTACAGCACAAAGTTATTTCAGGTCCATATGCCACCTAAATTACATCAATTTATTATTATGAATGCAGTCATCTTTCCCTCATGAATACTTACTGATGTTCTCACTGAACCTTCAGCACAAAATAGGAATTGCATTTTTTGTTGCATCTTTGGTGAAAAATGCTAGCCCTACATTTGCATTAATGAGAAGGCCAGTGACATCCTCATCAGTATTTTGTCATTTCATGCGTGGCTACTCGCATTCTCTTGTTTCAGGCTTACTAGTTTGAACTCAGGACCTTGTACCAGTATACTTTGCTTAAAGATGATTCAGAAAGCAAAAAATATTTGTCAATAAAACACTTTCTAGATAGACATAGAGATTAGCTCAAAGAACAAGTAGTGTTCACTTAGTAAGGTGTTTTCCTTTTGAAGATAATAAAGAGGTTAAAAGAGTATTATTTCTTAACTGAAGTCCTACTAGAAATCAGTAAAAACTCTTCAGCCAACAAGCTGTTAAAATTGGTTTGCTTACATTCATTCATTAAGCAAATACTCAATAAGAGTAATAGCCTGACAAGAATCAAACATGAGTCTTCCTAAAGTGAAAGGGCAGAAAAACTCTACTTAAACTTTCTGTTCACACAACTAAGTAAGAACTCTTATTCATTTTTTGTATTTTTTTTCTTTTTCTTTTTTTAAAATAATTACAGGCTTGCTCAGAACTAGCAAATCTGTCAACATGTAAGCCAAGATGCAATACATTCAGACATCCAGGAACAACCTGGGAGAGAAAGCAAAGTTACTCATTTTTAACAACTATGTATTTAACCATGAACTCATTACAAAGAAGATACAGTCTTCATCCAATTAGTCTTTTCATTATTGCTGGTTTTGAAAATGGCCAACAATATTCATTAGGTACTGTGCCATTAACATTGCATTCAAAAAAAGAAAACATGGGAAACCAAATTCTTGCTCTCCTACTCTGCTGATAAGCTCTGGTATTGGCCAGGGTATGGTAGTACAAAAAGAGTCTTGTTGTTATATAAAAGGCAATAAACACATCAATTGAATAATGTTCATGAGCAGCCAAGATGAAGAAGATTCCAAAGAGGTTGAGAACCCAGGATAAAGTATGTAAGAAATTCCAGCTTCTTGGTGTATCTATGGAAAAGACAGAAATATCATTTTAAGACTACATTCCTTCCAGTGCTTTTAAGACACATAATTCTTAGGCTAGGCTGTTTAGCATGCTCTTTATATAGAATTTTAGACCCTCCCCAGCCTCCCCTATAGTTAATTGTCTACCATGTACAGAATTAAAGAGATACTTACATTCTGTGACAAAGAAATTCAGCATTGTTAGGACAACAGTGTGGCCACTGAACATGTAATCTCCACAAGTATGCACGCCAGTCAGGGTCATACCAAAGCCACTCCAAATGGCAAAGGCCCGGTGTAGTTTCTCCCATACACTGCCATATATCTATAAAGAAAGCTACAGTTTAGTGTTTCAACCACTAAGGGAGATAAAAGTTTCCCAACATCCATTCCCAGAGAAACTCAAATGAGGAATGACTTAGCAACCAGGGTCCTAACCTAAATAGTCCCAGCCTAATTAATTCCACATTTATTTCAAGAATGAATGGTCAAAATTTGGCTATATCCAGAAAGAAATGTGAGAATTAAGTGGAATCACTGTAATGCAAACTCCTTTATAATAAACTGGTTATTATAACAAAGAATATCTCTAAGTTTTTAGTTCAATATTATTAGAACATTAGTGCTAGACACACTGCATTTTCCAGCATCTCTTGCAGCTAGATGTGGCCAAATTTTGTAATAAGATGTAAGAATAATTACAAAGGATTTCTTTTTTTTATTGTGAAAATACTGTACAGAGGGGTTACAATTACATGTGCAAGATAATGAGTACATTTCTTATCAAGCATTGTAGCCTCCTCCTTTGTTTCCCTTTCCCATCCCTTCCCATCCTCCCACCGCCCCCCAATTATAAAGGATTTCTCAGAAGAGATTTATAAAGGAATGAGATAATAGCTCAGGAAATCTTTTCTACTATTATGTCTTTCCTTCTTTAGGTCTGTTCCTTAGACATGATAGCTAGAGCTCTAGCAGCTACCCTGGACCACAAGTGGCCTTGAAGATGCAAGCCAATTATTAGGTAGGATAGACTAAAGGTAGAGACTAATAGGTTTCTGATGACTATTCTATAGTTATCATGCTAGGCCTGAACTACCTATATTCAGACTTCATGCTTATTACCAACCAACCATTTTGAATTTCCAGCTCTCAACTCTTATATATACACTTCAAAAAAAAAAAAAAACATTTTGAGGAAAGGCTTGAGCTCAGAATAGCTTAAAAAGAAGAGGAGAGTTACTTTTTAAAATGGACTCAACAGGCTGGGGGGCCGGTGGTTCATGCCTGTAAACTTTGCTACTCAGGAGGCTGAGATCTGAGGATTGCAGTTCAAAGCCAGCCCTGGCAGGAAAGTTCATGAGACTCTTATCTCCAAATAACCACTAGAAAACTGGAAACGGCACTATGGATCAAGTGGTAGAGTGCTCACCTTGAGCTAAAGAGCTCAGGGACATTGGCCAAACCCAGAGTTCAAGTCCTGCACTGACCAAAAAAAGGGCACTCAACATATAAAAATGTTATGAAAAGCTGCTAAAATTGTATATCCATTTATTACATACAAAGCATACTGATAAATCTTTAATAAGCTACTAGACGTAATCTCTGAAAAAGTTCTATAAAGTAATTCAATTTGCAGATGAGCAAAAGGCTATCACACAACTAGGAAGTAACAAAGTCAGGACATGCACTTGGGAATCCAATTCCAAAGCCATTTGTCTTTGCTTGGCAGCACTAAGGTTTCAACTCTCAGGGGCTCATACTTATATACAAGTGTTCTACCACTTGAGCTACACACAGAATCCTTATTTGCTTTCATTTGTTTTTCAGATAAGAGTCTCATGATTTTGTTAGGCCTGCTTCAGACAACAACCATTCTATTTCCACTTTCCAATATCTGGGATTACAGGCATGAACCACCATATCTAACCCCCCCCAAAAGATTCTACTGTGGCTAATACTGCTCCCCTCAAAAACAAAAACAAACAACAACAACAACAAAAACAACAACTTTTTTTATTAGATGTCATAACCTCATCAGAAATCTCAACTGTTAGGCTGGTGGTACAACCCAAGTGGCAAAGTGTTTGCCTTGCATTTGCAAAGCCCTGAGTTCAGTACCATCACAATCACCATACCATCACGAAAGAGAGAGGGAGGAAAATCTTACTTGCTGATTGTACACTGCTCTGATTTGTTTACCTTTCTGCCTCAGCTGAGTCAGAGAGATAGCAAATTTATTACTAGAGAAAAAGAAAGTATTAACAAATATATGTCATTTGGTTTTTTCATGACTGCTATAATCAGTATATAAGAGGTTATACTTGGGGGCTGGGAAGATGGCTCAGTGGTAGAGCGCTTGCCTTGCATGTCTGTGGTCCTGGGTTCGATTCCTCAGCACCACATAAGCAAAATGAAAAAAGCCGGAGGTGGC